CTGACGGTTTCGCAAATCAAAATTATAGTTTCTCAAAGCTATCTTGAAATGGTATAGATACGTTCTTCGCAAAAAAGGCGACGACGAAGCCTACTCAGTATTTCAATGAGGGTAGGCATCGCATTCAGTTACAAGGTCAAATTCTCTCTTATCCATTTGATTCCTGTCAACGGTCGCTTATGTGCGATGCGTCTGCAGGGTCCAATGAGCGTCCGAAAGGGAAGCAATACCAAAAGGCTTGTGTTCTTCATGTCGGTATCTGCACCGACCAACTGCAGTTGTGATACATTAAAGGACGATTTCTGCGATAAACTCACCGAAATCATTCGGATAATTAAAATCTCCGACATAGGTGCTTTCAACGCGCCGGTTAGAAACTGAACGCATCAGAAGCTTGCCCAGGTGGTGTTTGTGACCTGTCCTGCCAACGAACAGACAACGGCGATCGACTTTTTCCGTTCGGCGCAGATCACCATTTGTTCCTCCCCGGTACCAAATTCTGACACAGCTGTCGACAAACGGGAACACGATGCTCCAGTTCAACTGGCACGCCTAGTCCGTGTAGCAGTAAGCTACCGTTGGCGTAGATCAGTGCAAAAGTGCAGATCCTATTGGACCACTTGTGTGGAGTCTGACCACACATCAGTTTTGGTGCAGTTCACTTTCCGACTCACTGATCAACGGCAAAAGCAGCAAAGTCTGTTTCAGCAGTTCGTGCACTGTAGGAGTCAGAGATAGTGCGTGAGCTACGTGCGCTTCAACATGATGATGTAGATGAGTAGTGGAATCAAATTAGGCGAGCAATACATTCCGCAGTGAATGTTTCAGGTGTCTGAGCATCAAGCCCGTCGGAGGTATTGGATGATGAACAAAAAAAGCGATAAATCCCCACCTACCAGGCTCAAAATCAGGGTTAGGTGGCCTCTGCAACGTCAACACGCTAAGATCCTCAAGACAATTTGTGAATACTGGTGGACAGCCATATCTAGTGAACTGGAAGTAGCACCTGCACTAGTTCACAGTCAAGGACTATTCCGAATTATGCGAAATACGGCAGGTCAGTGAACTACATTTAGTAAAGCCGTCTGAGATAAAAGCCATTCATAATAGGGATCAAAGGGCTTGATCATTGGACGAAATACTACAGCGAAGAGTTCAGCTGGCCTGGCGCCAGCCAGATTATTTCGTCTGCAACCGAAGCTCAGTGGGCACTGAAGTGTGATCCTCTGACAGAAGTAAATTTTGGTCTTTCATTCAAACTTTGAAACGAGATGCAGCGGGACAGGCAGGGCTCCCTCCAGCTCTTTTCAAGATTGGGGGTGATAGCCCCACAAGCTCTCCTACCACCTCACTACCACAATGTTTCTTGACCTGAAAGGAGCCTTCGACTCAGTTGACCGCGAGGCTCTGATGGGTTCCTTCCTTCGGAAAGGAATGTCCTAGAAGTACGTTGGCTTACTGAGCTCACTTTACTCACATACCTCTGACAGAATGGGGGCTTTTAACGAACTAAGTAGACCGTTCATCACCAGCAGCGGCAATCGTCAAGGGTACCTTTTTTGCAATTGCTGTTCAACTTCATCGTGGTCTAAATTCTGAAGAACGCGTAAAGTGATCATAAAAACGTAGGTAGGTTTGGATGAGCAGCGGCAGAAAAGCTATGCGATTATGAGTAAGTTGATGACAACTTATGTACGTTGGAATGTATGCAGGTCGTGCAAAGTGCACTGCTGTTCCCAAATTCGGTATGTGCATTTTCCCTGCAAAGAACAAAGTGATATTGCAAGATTGGGTGTCGCTGAGTACCAATTGGAAAATTATTGACCAGGAATTAGACATAGTGCATTGCTTTTCCTACTTAGACACTTCGGTGACTAATCATGGTAGTGCAGCAAAGAAGATAACCACCCTCATTTCCAAAACTCGAGCAGCGTACGCAGAACTGAGACGCCTGAGGCGTAGATGTGACATTTTACTGAAGTTGAAAGGTCGTGTATATTGTGCCACCGTTCGTCCAGTTGTGCTTTATGGTTGTGAAACCTTGAATTTGCGAGTAGAACATATTCATCAACTAGAGGTTTTCGATCATCGATGTTTACGAAGTTTAGCGAACGGGTTAGTGAGTTCGAGGTAAGTCGTCATGTGTTTGGGAGTTTATTAGGGATAAACCTGCTGGCTCATCGAATTTAGGTTAGTAGACTTCGTTGGTTAGGGAACGTATTGTTTACGCTCAGCTGTTGTCTACCGCGATCCGTGAAGTTCACTTGATTGTTTTTCGCTGTACGGTGATATTGATGAGTATCACGCATTACAAAAACTATACCGATTAGGGATATCTAATTAATCAGATGGTGTCATCTCAATCTGTGCACCCGAAATGTAGTGAAGCCATTAACATTGAGTTACCAGATAGTTGACCGTGGGTTTCCAAAATGTAAATAGACATGGCTGTCTCGCTCTCATCCTTTCGCCTGAATTCACCAACGCAATTTGCCATGCAGATACCCGTTTGTTGAACGTCAGCGATTGAGATGATTATTTGAAATCGTAACATCCCTTGACCGGTGTGTGCGCTTTTGGGCTGGTGTTTAGTACCCGCTTCGACATGCATTTAGTGGTGAGGCATTGTGAAGCAGCGCATTTAATCGGCGAAATTCCAAATACCTAACAACGCCACTGACTGATGAACACACATTCAGAATTATACAATTGTGTTCTAATTCTGTGAACTCCGATCAGGACAAAAGAATCAGTGATTAACAAAACCCAGGTTGCACAAAACCGCCTTCAGCCAATTCTTTTGGAGAATGCAGATGGATGAATATTACGAGCTTCAATCATTCCACGGTTGGTTATTGATCATTCAGTTCACCAGTTGACAATTGAACGCGCCATTCACTAAAATGTGGTACTCTGAAAACGTCTATCTGCACTGTGATAACCGTGATCACAGCTCTAGGCGCTGCGATGGACTTGTGCATGTTTTGCTTTCTTGCACAGGAGTTCTCGTTTTTTTTTATTCCAAAAATAAGCCAAAAGAAGCGACATTTCACACAGAAATCATTTTAACCGCCAATGAGCGCAACCCACTTTGACCGGGTTACGGATTCCAAGATAGCATAAAATTCACTCAATGGGCGTATTTTAGCCGCCAACATTCAGTGATAAAACTTTGATACAAAGAGTTATTTTAATTTTCCAAATTATGTTTAGTGTGAACAAAACTTTATCGTTTCTATCGTTTTGCTTACTGAGATCACATCGTTAACCCTGTTACTCATCAAATACGGCGGTTAGCTGACGATTGGTTGACGCATTCCATTGCGAATCGGTTTAGAACTGTAGACAGCACAAAATATTGGTGTTTTTTTAAATATATTTCCAGTCTTGGAATTTCATTTGCTCAAACAGACTTGTCAAATTATTTCACTCAGTCCTGGATGGTTTCACACGGGATAAGTGCATGTTGAACTGAGTATGAGATACATGATTTGAGGGGATGTAAAGCACTGTGTTCAGCCCACTTCCACCCGGTTGGATATCACCCGCAGTGCAAGTTGATCTACGCGGTGGGGAATCCAATGCATTCCTGTCAACAGGTAACGACAATCATGAATAAAACCTCAGTTATTGCATCACAGGGTTTTCCTTAACTTATGTTTTGAGTTGACATGATGGTGACTGATTCCAAAGAAAGAGGAAGTACGTCACGAACTAATGATTACGTCGACTGTCACCTAGATAATTGCATTCTACACTTCGATTCGCACCTACGCACAGGGTGAACACCAATGTTCCATGTCGTGGCTGCACAAGGTTACAACATCAACCTACATGTGAATGCGATGGAAATGTATGTGATAACCGACAAAGAGCACTGGACAGCTGTTTCGTCCTGTTTGGGACTCGTCAGCGTTCAAATGCATTCAACTAGCAGAGAATTGACGATCTCCCGCGGAGTAAAGCTCACACCCAAGACCGTCAAGTGTGCCTGATGCCTCTTAACCACCGAATGGGCTAATCCAAGATTGGTATTCTAAAAAAATCAATCTCCATTCTTTTCACGTTGATCGGATTAGAACAACTCCTGTTTTAAGAGGATAAATTTAAGAAAGAAAACCGTCAAGTCAGCTCCTAGCTAACAGCATAATACATGAACTGTTTGTTGATCGGGATGTAAACCTTTGATGCTTCCGTAATCCATAATTTGCTTCACTCCAGAGACGGTTGGACAACCTTTCGGATGATTCATTAAGTCTAAGCAACTTATCAATGGTAGAATACAAGCATCTTAGTGACAGTTTGTGCAATCAGTAGTTCGCACTGCACTATTTATGATTGACCTAGAATTTGCCATAATTTTAACTCAAAATAGGATTTTCAGAAAAATCAAACGACAGGTCCTAATCAAATGAAAGGAATGTGCTGTGAGCAGGCAGACCCATGCCTCCGAAAGCCTCAGTATGGTCGGGAGTGGGTGTCTAGGGTTGTTGCTGGTCATCTTTCCTTTGCACCTCAAGAAGAACAACGAAGCTGACACTCACGAATCGCTGGTCACAGCTCGTGCAGGTCCGGTCGTTTCGTTCAATCCAACGTTACAAACTATTTGGCTACGGGGTATTTGGTGAATACCACGCAAGACGTCCAACCTCGACCCGGATATAACGCGCCTCATCCAGTCGCAAGCCAAGATCGTCGAGGCTCTGTCCGAGCGGTTAGGTATGTTGGATCAGCCTGCTCTCTCCAATGACCCCCCGTCATTGGAGCACTACACCCGGACGATGACCGAGTTCGTGTACGATCCCGATGCTGGCATGACGTTCGAATCCTGGTTAGGTCGGGACGAGGACGTGTTCACAGTCAAACTGGCCAATCGAGGGGACGATGCTCGGAACCGCCTGCCCCTCCGGAAACTTGGTCCGGCGGAGCAAAGTCACTACTGAAACTTCATCTTCCCGGATGAGCCCCGTCCCCGTGATTTCCCCTCCACTGTCGATACGCTCGCCAAGACTTTTGGCGATTCTCTCTCTCTCCTTTCCATTCCCGTTTTCAGTGCCTACAGGTTACCAAACGGGAGTCCGACAACTTCTTCCAATACGCGGGGCCGGTTCCAACTTGGTTCGTTGACCGAGGATCAATTTCGTTGCCTGGTCTTCAGCTGTGGCGTCTAGGCCCCGTGCTAAGCAAACCTTCGTATGCGACTACTGGCCATGATTGGCCAGAACCCAACGATCCAACTCCATCAAGTGGTCGAGGAATGCCAACGCGTCGACATTTGGAAGCGTGGCTCGGCCCTCATCCAGCGTCTAAAGCGTCTCAAGCAGCTTCTGCTGAGGAAGCCCTACTCACTACCTTCTCATGGCGAAGGTGCTTTGCATCAAGGTAAGAGTACGAAAAGCCGATATCCGGGGTAAAACCGGGTTGGTGGACCACTGCTAGTTCACCCAGGGGAGTTGGTCAAAAACCCTGATTCCAAACCAACCATGAGGAGGCGTACTTACCGCACACCCGCCTTTCTGGTTGTGGCACTGGTCATCCGCTCGATTGGGCATCAACATGTGCTGGGCACCTTGGAGATCTGAGCCCTTTCAAAGGGCTTCGGATGGGGAGTCCACAAGAAAATTCACCTGCCTTGGCCTGAAAAATCTAGCAGTATTCCGCCCACACGCAAATTATGGATTGTTTTTCTTTTTATGGAGATTACTGTACCATGATTTGTTTGATACACCCTCTGACGTCAGACGTGTGTAAGATGTATAAAACATATCAGCGAACACACAGATGATTATTAAACACAGCAGGTCTCACAATGTACAACCGATCATCATAATTTTCAAATGAAAAGCCAAAAAACGAAGTTGAATTTGATTATGTCAAATTTTACAGAAAACATAACAAAAAAATACGAAGTTTCACTGAGATGGCAGTATTGCACTCCCGTGGAGTTTGCCTAGATAAGCCACTTTATTAGTCTGTGTAAGATTTAGAATCATGTCCGTGTCGATGTTACTCTACTCCCTATGCGACAATGCCTCTAATTTATGCCCTGAGGTGTTGGTGCACATTTCGGGCAAGAATATATCAGGTGTTTTTTATTGGGTTTAAATGTGAGCTGCACACAGACCATACCATTGTTTTGATAGCGCAGCATAATAAGCAGCATTTTTGATACAATTAATGAACCATGGTGATATCAGGCTGAAAAATGGATTCAGGGTGACTATCACATGCTATAGATAATAACAAGTGCCTCAACAATTTGCGAATCTATGTATCAGAATCGTGTACCCCACGCAGTATAGCAGTATAGCACATTGATGTGCACCCCGCACTACTACAGAATTCTGGTTGTTAGTCCGCTTCGTGAAGTGCCATCATTTCCATACATAGATCACATCAATAAAAGTTGTACCCGTTGAGTCCATCTAAGTTAAATTTCAAAAAACTAGACGAAATTCCATTCCGTTTTCCAAGTTACACGAGGTTCAGCTAACAATAAACTTTTTTCTGGCTTTTGATGGTTTTAGAGCTGGGCATCTTCTGATGTTCTTCTATTTTATGCAAAGGATCGCATTAGGTGTTCGTTGTGCTGTTTGCTATAAAACTCAAGCACCATTTTGATCTCCGACACATGAATAACGCATTTTTAAGCCACAAAGAGAAACTTGGGCTTTCCTTCCCCGAAAATGTATTTTCTGGTATCCAACCTGTTTACGACTCCCTTTTCCTGTGTGTCACAGTCAGTGTCATCATCATCATCGTACAGCGTAAAACAGTGAACCGATCTTCATTGCCAAACTCGCATTATGTAAGATGGACAGCGATCGGAACTATTTTGAGCGAGGGGAATAAGGTGAATGTAGTAATCAGAATAGTATTGAATTGAGGTAT